TACCATTTTCCACTAGGTCAGAAAGGAAGATCGGATGAAATAAATACTCACTGAAACCCGGGGATGTCAGTGCTGACCGCACTGCGGTGTATCTGCTGCAGTTCTCTGGGATGATCCCATAGGCTGTGAATAAAAAGTGCTAGACTGAAGAGGTCTGTCAGCTAGGAGCGGGCGCCCCCCTCTAAACCCAGACCTTGCGGGGCTGGGGCAGGACTGTTGGGGTCCAGGCCAGCCCGAACCACAGAGTAAGACTTGTCTATCTGGTTGTCCCTCGTCTCTGTCGCCATCGGGTTACTAATATGGGGGCTTCTACTCATCCTTCTGGTGGAGGTGGAGGACATTAGCCTCGATGCCACATTCTGTGTGGGGCTTCCCACTCGGGAGAGACCCTAAGGTGGCCCCTATACTCTATCCTCAGCCCATTTCAAATATTGCTTCTTTGTTTTCACTGATATCCAAAGCAATTCTATTTCCAATTTTTATTGAATGACTTTCTGGGGAGCCCATTTCTAGTCACCCAGGTAGAACAACAGACAGATCAAATAACTTGTTTCCATTCACATGCAACTTGGTGAACCAGTTAATTTAATTGGGGTTATTCAAGCGTCGGCCAACAATGAGGGTGTCTTCTGTCTCTGTATATATGCCACATATATATCCTGGGAGATGAGAGGGCTCCCTGAGCCTGGATACCCTCCCCTCCATTCATGGGGAATGATAATTGGTCCAATCTGATGAAGGTCTCTTGCTGCAAAACACAGCCTCTCTGACCACCAGCCCAGAGGACAAAATACCACATGGTGCATATTTACAATATACAAGGGGTTTTTTTGGGGGGGGTTGGTTTGCTATTTTTAAAATTTATTTATGTACATGGACATTTTGTCTACATATGGTCTGTGTATCATCTGCATAACTGGGTCCCCAAGAGGCAAGAAGATGTCAGATTCAGCAGGACTGGAGTTAAAGATGTTGTGACTCACTCTGTAAGTGCTAGGAATTGAACCCAGATCCTCTAGAAGAGCAGCCAATGTTTGCAACTGCTGAACCATCTCTCCAGCACTGGTATCTTGTTATATAGCCCAGGCTGGCCTTGAAATCTTGCTACTCCTGCCTCCCCACCCTGATCTCTGAGAGTACAGGAGGAAGGATTAATTTTGACTTGTGAAATTGGAGGGTACTTTAGTGGGGGGTTAAAAAAAGAAAGGAAGGAAGAAAGGCAAAGAACTTTTTGTTTCTTTTTTGTTTTGTCACCACAGGGTTTCTCTTTGTTAGTCTTTGGCTGTCCTGAAACTTGCTCTGTAGACCAGGCTAACTTCGAACTCAGATATCTGCCTGCCTCTGCCTCCTAAGTGCTAGGATTAAAGGCTTGTGCCACCACCACCGCCCAGCAACTAATGGGAATTTAAGTTATAATAAATGTACCATTTACATAGGTCATTTCTCATGCCTGTAACCTCACTCACTTGAGAACTCTTTTTTATTTATTTATTTGTTTGTTTATTTATTTATTTAATTTCTTGTGCATTGGTGTTTTGCCTGCATGCATGTCTGTGTGAGGGTGTTGGATCTTCTAGAACTGGAGTTACAGACTATACTGAGCTTCCATGTGGGTGCTGGGGGTTGAACCTGAGTCCTCTGGAAGAACAGTCAGTGTTCTTAACCGCTGAGCCTTCTCCCGGGCACTCCCAGCCCAGAAATTCTTAATTTGGGATCCGTGATGGGTTTCCGGGGCTCAAAACGGCGTGCTGTTTGTGTTTATTATATTTTCCCTAATAATGACTAGCCATGGTCGTTTTTGCAGAGAAAAGCCCGTATTTTAACCAGATTCACTGAACGTTCCTATATTCCCAAAGGGTTTCCACCTGCCGTGCTACCCACAGACAGGTGTATAGTATAAAGAAAGGGCTTGGTACTCGATGGAGCCCACTGCCCTCAACAAATATGGCGGGAGCGGCCTCGCACGCAGCCCCTCACGCAGTCCGCCCCTCTTTCCCCACCTTTGCGTCCTGACCCCGGAAGGACTCCGCTTCCCACAGCCGGAGGCTGCTCCGTGCGGGCCGCGGCGGGGTCCCGGGCGGACGAGGCGCAGGTGCGGGCGGGCGGGCCCGGGGGAGGGAGGGCACCTCTGGGAGTGGGCAGAGCGGGACCGCCGCGCGGAACAGAACCAGGGGGCGGGGCGGGGGCGGGGTGCGGAGACCCGGGGTGCGGGGCGGGGATCGGGGTGCGGGGCGGAGACCCGGGGTGCGGGGCGGGGATCGGGGTGCAGAGATCGGGGTGCGGGGCGGAGACCCGGGGTGCGGAGATCGGGGTGCGGAGATCGGGGTGCGGGGCGGAGACCCGGGGTGCGGGGCGGGGACCCGGGGTGCGGGGCGGGGACCCGGGGTGCGGAGATCGGGGTGCGGGGCGGAGGCGCGGGGTGCGGGGCGGGGATCGGGGTGCGGGGCGGAGACCCGGGGTGCGGGGCGGAGACCCGGGGTGCGGGGCGGAGACCCGGGGTGCGGGGCGGAGACCCGGGGTGCGGAGATCGGGGTGCGGGGCGGAGACCCGGGGTGCGGAGATCGGGGTGCGGGGCGGAGGCGCGGGGTGCGGGGCGGGGATCGGGGGGCGGAGATGGGGGGCGGAGACCCGGGGTGCAGAGACCGGGGTGCAGGGCGGGGATCGGGGGGCGGAGACCCGGGGTGCGCTGACCTTGCGCAGCTGCCTCGGTGCTCGGTGCCGCCTGTCTTGGGCGCCTGCAGAGAAGCCATGCCCGCTGGCCAAAATCGCTGAGCGCCTTCCTCCTCTACCGGGAGCCCCAGACACCTTGTGTTATCCAGGCAGCCTCCCTCCCCGGAGCCCACCAGATCTGTGTGAAAACCACAGCAGGTCCAGCTGGTGGTAATCCTCCTGCCTCAGCCTCCCAAGTGATGGGATTACAGGCGTGACCACTAGACCTCACATCACAGACTGCTCTCGTTGTATCTGTCAGGCTGTTGTCAGTAACGGTTTGAGCTACTTGAGAGCATCTCAGCATTGGGGAGGTGAGGCAGGACGGTCGGAGATCCAAGGCCCTGGTCCCTACACAGTGAATTCCAGGCCTGCCTGGCTACATGGGACCTCGCCCCCGCCCCAGAGAGACAGAGAGAATGAATGTCTGTTCCTCCTCAGACTTTAGACTTCATGTTTCCTGACAAATTAGCTCAATGGTTTACATTTGCTTCCTGTCTTTAAAGCCAGAGTTGTAGAATCGGATTTTAGGATGTTTAAGAAGAAAACTCCAAGCCAGTGTTTGGAGTGGAATGAATGAGTAAGTTCTTAGTGGCATTTTAAGGTTTCTTTTACAAAATGTGAATAGTCATGAAACTGCCTACTTTTGAAGTTTCTCAGTTAGAAATGGTTGCATTTGCATTCAGCTTTTTTGGTGCATCGCACTTTCCTTGGTGAAATGAAACGAGATAGCTAGAATTCAAAAATAAAGGTCTATCAAGTATTGCAGCAAATTCAAATATGAATTTTTGTCACCAGGCAGTGATTCTGTTTTGTTTTCAATCCCCGTAAGTGATGGGTGCTCGCTTGCTTGTACGCCTGTGCATTAATGCCCTAGAGTCCAGAAGAGGGCGCAGGATTCCCTGGGGCTGGAGTTAGAAATAAACGGTTGTGGGCCACTGTGTGGCCTGAGAATCAGCCCCATCCTCTGGAGGAACAGCCAGTGCTCTTCACTGCTGAGCATCTCTTTATCCCAGACAGAGCATTTGTTAATTATAGCAGTGAGCCGATTTGTTTTCTGTAAATGTATTTACTGTGTGAGACTGGGTACAGCAGTAACAACAGTGACCTGTGATTCGGCAGGACCCAGACTGAGGCCGTGGCTCTCGGCATGTGCACTGTGACCCCTTTGTGGGGTCGAACCCCCTTTCACAGGGGCGGCCTAAGTCCATGGGCAAACACAGGTGTTTACATCATGATACACAACCGCAGCAGAATTGCAGTTATGTAGTCGCAATGAAGTAATTGTATGATTGGGGTGACCACCGCAGGAGGAATCTATTAAACATTGCCCTAAACCGTTGATTTCCGCAGCACTTGTGGGAGGAAGTGGAGTCTGCAGGCATAGATGTGAGTGTGGGTCGGTGGAGGCCAGAGTCGTCAGCCAGCTTGTCCCGGGGATCCCTGGCCTCCAGAACCACAGGCAACGCTCTGAGCCCACCCAGAGTCCACATGGGCTCCCTGTGGCAAGTAGGAAAAAAATCAGTTATGGTTGGGGGTCCCCCCCCCGTGTGAGGAACCGCATTTAAGGGTGGCAGCTCTGGGAAGGCTGAGAACCCCGGCTCTAGAACATGCTTTCCTAGCCATGTCTCCCTCTCCTCTCCCCATAGCTTTTTTCGGTTAACACACAAAGTAAAGGATTTTCACCCCTGGGATCTTCATGCATGTGTGTACTTGTAGTGGGTTGTTTTTTTGTTTTTTTTTTGTTTTAGTCCCCCCCCCCCACTATCACCGGTAAAACCTGTGGCCTTCTAAGGAAAATGTATGATTGAATGGGATTACATCTACCCCATTTTCATCACGGTTAGCCTCTTGGTTAAGACTAAGTATAAACACAGCTCATGTTTTCCTGTGCTGTTTTGGTAACTGATAAATGCAGTTCTAGCTCCATTGCAATATCACGTACACATAATGAACTCAAAACTGACAGAGTATTTTATTATATTTATTAATTTGGTTCTCTTGTGGGCATGGAAGGACAACTTGCAGGAGTCGGCTCTCTGATTTTACCAGTTTAACTTGCTTTTTTTGTTTTTGGGAACAGGGGCTCATTATGTATCTGCCTGGCCTGGGATTCTCCGTGTAGACCATACTGACTTCAAATTCACAAAGCTGGCCTGCCTCTCCCTCCCAAGAACTGGAATCAAGGGCATGAACCATCACACCTGGCAAGAATTTAACTTTGCCTCTTTCATGGATGAAGCAACCAGGAATCCCTGTGGCTGATTGCCTTCTGTTTCACTGAGTTGAGATCTGAGTGAGCAGTCATGTCAGGAGAACCGGGCAGCGAATCACAGCTCTCCTTGAAGCTGGCCGCCCTGAGAGTGTTTGGTCTCCCTGTGTCCTGGTGCAATTCTCTCTCCCAGGTAGACAAAGAGCACGTTTATGCTGTTCTGTGTGATTTGATGCTTGTTTCTGTGGTGTTGGGGATCTGAACCCAGCGTTCGCTGACCAGGCAGGTGGTCACTGCGGGACACTCACAGCCCCTGAGGATTTCACACAGCACAGTCAAAATGCTAAAGGAGCTAATACCTACTTTTAAAAGTTATTTTGTGTGTGTGTACATATGCATATTCATGCTTCGTTATATTCATATACTTTGTATATAAATATACTTCATTAAAATATATGCATATGTACAGCATTCCTTTAAAAAGCCCTCCTTTCTTATCCAGGTGTGGCGTACACCTTTTAACCCTGTATTCAGCATTTTTTTATGACTCGTGTATTTTATTGAGCATAATATTTTCAAGATTTATCCGCATTACAGCCCATATTGGAGTTTCCTTTCAATATGGAGTTAATACGCCACTGTGTGGATAACAAGCATGTGTATACAGGCGTGTGTATACAAGCGTGTGCTCGCATTTCCGTCCGCCTGTGGTCACGCGGGTTGTCTCCATGTTGTGGGCATGTTGAATAAGGCTCCCATGATCATGGGTGACTCTGGGAGACTGGTTTTCACCCGTCACAGTACCACACGCCTGTAATCTCAGCACTCCAGAGGCAAAAGCTGGAGGACCATGACAGGGAGGCTAGGGAGGCGTCTCAGCCCAAGTGCGAAGCCCATCGGGACCTGGTCCCCAGAGTCTACACTAACATCAAGCAAGCAGAAAAGCCAGGCACCGTAGGGACGGCCACACGCTGTTTTCTAGTTGCTGGGGAGGCCTTAGCACTGCGAGCCAGCCCACCTGACCAGATGGTCCAGCTCCGGGTTCAGTGGTGGGCAGTGGTTTGTGTAGACCCTGTGTGCACACAGGCACCCAACACACAGAGGAAGGGAGGGAGGAGAGACCCTGACTTCAGCTCTTTCCAGAACTATTTTTCAGAGGTAGAATCTCTAAGTCACGAATCTTTTCATTCTGGGGGAGCTGCTGGGCCGACTTCCATAGCTGGCACAACGTTTCACATTCCCACAGCCTCACTAATGCGTGTGGTCTGGTGTCCCTGTGGTGGCCACCCTACAGGGATGTGGTTTCCAGATCTTTCCTCTCGTACTGTCAGTTGCATTCTGTTGTTAGTGGCTTTCATTCTAATTTTAAAATACTTTTATTTATGTGTATGGGTGTTTTGCCTGCGTATATGTCTGGGCAATCTGTCTCCTTGGTCCATGGAGACCAGGACAGGGCGTTGGTAAGCAGTTGTGTGATTGTCCAGGTAGTAGTGTTCTAAAAATATTTTTAAATTAATTTATGAATAAAATCACTTATTCCTGTGGTTTTTAAAAATAAGTTTACTTCTGTTTGCTTAAAATTCCAGACATTTTTTTTTGTTTTAAACTGAGCTCAGCTTTCAAGTCTGACTTCATCATCTTTGTAGTTAAAAACCTTGATAATTGTTCATATAGAAGATTCAGTCAGAGATCCACCTGCCTCTGCCTCCCAAGTGCTGGGATCAAAGGCTAATTGTTGTTTGTAAATGTCAGTCTCGGGAGCCAGATACTGGGGTGGAAGCCTGCTAGCTCAGAGAAGCAGAGAAAGCACCCAGCTACCCTGCCTCCTCGGCCAGAGTCCCAGAAGCCTCCTCTTCCTATGCAGTCTCCAAAAACCCTCCTCACACTGTGTGTTCCTGCATTCTACTCCCTGAATATTCTCTTCATCCTCCTGACTCCTCTTACTCCCTGTGGTTTTTAGTAATCCAGTATTCACTTCCTGCCAACTGGTTGCTTGCTCCATCTCTGACCTGTGGTTGACTTTATTTTAATCCCATTTGCAATATTCAAGCAGAAAGCTCTTGGATTAAAAGTGTGTGCTAGGGCTGAGCCACACCACAACTAGAAGCAGGTTTTTCCAGTAAATAATGCAATCTCGGGACTCATATTGTGATCAAATATCATACAACAGCTAATTTTAGTTCTTATGCTTTTATTGAAAAAAAATATGAAATTTTTTTCCCAATCTTTTTCAGATGAAATTTTCACCAGTAGCTAAAAGGTTGTTTGTGGTGACTGCTGTGAGTGCTATGTCTGTAATTTTTTTTGCCCATCACTTTAAAAGAAGACGTGGGAAAAAGAAAGGAAAAATACTACCATGGGAACCAGAGCACCTCATACTTGAACACACTAAAAGAGCAGCATCGGACAAAGGTTTGTGGAAACTTCCAGATTAAATCTGTGGATCATAAGGCACTATGCATCATAGCTGGATCGCCAGTCTGTAGGATTAGTGAGTGCGGAGGAGAAAAGACAGGAACATTAAAGCCACCTAGGGTCCTGCTGCACAGAAGTTATCACTGACGATTGTTTGTTATACATCTATACACATACATCGACACACGAGTATAGTGACTGAAAATTTGATGAGTGTTGCAGAGGCAGGAGGATCTCTGTGAGTTCGAGACCAGCCTGGTCTGCAGCGCTAGTTCCAGGACAGCAAGAACTGTTGTTACACAGAGAAACCCTGTCTTGAAAAACAAAACAAATAAGTGTCCATAGATTCTATAGTGAAATAAAGTTTAGGGGCTGGAGATGGCACAGCTGTGGAGACTGAGAGCCACTCTTGCAGAGGAGCAGAGTTCCATCTCAGCACCCGTATCTGGATGTTTCCAAGGATTTGGCACCCCTGTCCTCAAAGCATCTCCCTCACGCACATACCCCCACACAGAAACATATACACACAATTTTAAAATGATGTAAAATTCTGTGAAACCATGATACTACATTCACAACCTGCTTTCTAAGTATTTGCTAACATATATGAGCCAATACTGTTTGTACAACATAATAATTATAACATTTGTACATATATGCTATAATTGATTGAATTCTATCTCTGTTACCTTTGTGGGGATTGTGATTTTTGTTTTTTTTTTTATTTATGAGATTTTAAACAAGAGTCTTATGTAGCTCCAGCTGGCCTTGACTTCACTATGTTATAGTCTGACTTTTCTGTCCCACCAGACTTAATATTAATTATAAATACTGAACCAGTGGCTCAGGCTTATTACTAACTAGCTCTTACAACTTAAATGAAGGCATTCTATTATTCTATGTGCTTATTTACCTCTCCTCACCGATCCTGCTTGCTCCGAGTCTGTGGCATCTCCTCTTGACTCCTCAGACTCTGCTCTTCCTCCCAGCATTCTCTCTGCCCTGAATCTCCTGCCTAGCTATCAGACAGTCAGCTCTTTATTAACCAAGTAGAGTAATACATATTCACAGTGAACAAAAGGAGTATTCTTCGGCACTGGGTACTGAGGCCGGCTTTGAACTTTTGATTCTCATCAGGCAGGTGTGCAACACCATGCTTGTTCTGCATACATTCGTCTATTTCCTTACTATCAAAAGTTCTAGAGTTGCTGATACTTAAAGGAAACGTACTTTTAAATAAGAGATACGATGCATACAGCTGAACTGTAGCAATAAAAATGGTCCCCTGGGGCAAGTGAGAAGGCTCAGCAGGTAGAGGCACCCCTGCAAGCCTGGCAGCCTTCGGTTTATCCTCAGGACTCTGTGACGTGTACAAAGGAAACGACCCTCGAAAGTTGTCCTCAGACCTCCACAGGCTCAGTGTAGTGCACGGGCCCACACACACAACATTAATAGGAATGTAGTAGTAATAATAATAATAATAATTCCTTGACCAGGCTAGATTTCTTAGAGTTTTACTGTTCATGTATTTTATGGTTTTATGATTTATTCATTGGCACAAAGAGAGTCACTGTTTGCTATTTACTGAGATTTTATTGGATCTCAGACAAGCACTATGTTCAGCTTTTATTTAATTTTATAGCAGTCCTATGAAGGACAACTACAGCTCCCATGCTCTTCTCATTTATGCATGTGAAACACTGACATGAAGACACCACCGAGCTCACATAGCTCGGTGTGTACTGGGATTTAAAACCAGAAGGCTCTGACCTCCCTGCTGGCAGAAGCTAGGCCTGGTGTGCAGATAAGTGTGCGCATCGCATGGGTGGAGGGGTCAGAAGGGCACAAAACCAAACACGTTCAAAGAGAAGCTGTAATTCAGGGAAAACTGCTTGCTTACATCTTAAACTGGCAGTCTGTGAGGCAGTTGCCAATATTCTTACACTGATTACTGCAAGCCATTCAGAACCCTCCTGAATAGTTAGCTGAATGTTTATAAATCTGGCATTTGCATTTGTAACATACAATTGAATATATAATATACAATTTTAGTAACATCGCACATTTCATAATTTATATGCTTGAATAAAATGTGTTTTAAAAAATCAGGTGCTTTCTGAAGGGATAGAATATAACTTCACCATTTTCCTGGAAGTCATTGTCGGAGTTGCTGATGCTTTTGGTTTGGTGTGTTTGTTTACCAGGTTCAAGTTGTTCAAGTAGTAGACAGAATTTGACCTTGTCGCTAAGTTCCACCCAGGAGAAAGCCCCGCAGTCTTACAACTACACCAATGGAGGACTTTTCAGCAAATACTCGGGCTCTGCCCAGAGCTTAGCCTCTGTAAGAAAAATGTCCGTTACTGTTACTCTTACGTCTGTCTGCTTGCACATCTCACCGCTTAAGTATGGCATGTTTGCTGCTTGGAGGAGACAGTCTGCTTGAGTCTGTTTCCTTTGCTATGGGCATCCAGTTTCACTGAGTAAGTGATGTGGTCCACTTTAGTCCTCTGGGAATAGCTTTGCTGTGGAGTGTTGATTCAGAAGTAGGGGCAGGCATACTTTTTCCTGGACTGGATGTGATGGCTCACGCCGCTAATTCCAGCGCTTGGGTAAGTGGGTCTTTCTGTGCTTTTGGGCTCAAGTCATCCTGATGCCTCAGCCTCCTGGGTAGCTAGACTGCTGAGTCAGAGAGCCTCACTATGTGTAAAGACGCTAAAATGTAAAGACGTGCTTGTGGCAGAGAAGGAGCACCTGGGTTGGAGTTTGCAGACTTGCAGTTCTGTGAGCTCAGCAGCATGACCCACGTGAGGCCCCTGTAGCTTGGCTTCCTCAGCCTTGGGCATTTTTCTAACGAGTGTTAAAGCCCCCTTTGTTAGCAGAGGTGGCTGCAGGGACATTCAGTCACCTCTTGGCTCTTTCCCAGCCACCCTGCCATTCTTCTACTAACGGCTGTGAGGCAGGGGTCTGCCTTTTAGACGCAGGCGTGGAGGCTTACCCCAGGATCAGGGCACAGAAGACGGTAGGGATCTAGGCTGCAAAACTTGATAGTGGAGTCAAGGGAGCTGGAGATGCTCAGAGGTGAAGTGTGTGCCCTGCTCTTGCGCAGGACCTGAGTTTGGATCGAAACACCTATGCCAAGTAACTCATAACCACTTAGAACTCCAGCTCTAGAGGATCAACACACTCTCCTGACTTCCCTGGACAACTGGACTTACGTGCAAATGACCCCATACAGGCACACATGTATACCATAATTACAAATAAAAATACATTTAAAAAAATGAAATCTAAGCCATGTGGTGGTGGTGCACACCTTTAATCCCAGCACTCAGGGAGGCAGAGGTAGGAGGATCTCTGTGAGTTCAAGGCCAGCCTGGTCTACAAAGGGGGTTCCAGGACAGCCAGAGCTACACAGAGACACGCTGTCTCCAAAAACCAAAATAGAAAAGGGGGGGAAATGAAATCTAAAGGTGTGGCAAGAGATGTTTTAAAAATAACTTCCTCTTTTAAAATTTGAGAGATAATGGGAATAGAAGTATGGGTAAACTTGTAGGAGGAATTTTTACAATGGGAAGGATGCTGAGCTCATAATAGGTTTATGATGCCAGCAGAAAAGCTAAATTTGAATATAATCAGAATTATCTCTTCAGGTAGAACTTACCTGGACTATAATTACAGAACATGTGTAAATAGTTGGTAAATACCACAGCAGGTTTGGCATGTGACTCAGGACAGTATTTACATGCCTAAAACCCTGGGTTCCATTTCTGGCCCTGCATGCAAACCAGGTACGGTGGCCTGCGCCTGTAATCCCAGCACTTGGGGGGTAGAGGCAGAGGCAGACGGATGAAACATTCAAGGTTGTCGGTGGCTATGCAGAAGGCCCTGCGTGTGTGTGAGAGCATGTGTGTGCGAGCGTGTGCATGTGAGATGATGGCCTACACTTTCCTTGGTCTCCATTTCAGGTCCAGAGTGTCAACTCCTGTCATAGCTGTGCTTGTGGGAATTCCAGCTCCTGGGACAGGGCAGATGAGGACGACATCAAACTTGTCAACATTCCTGTGACCACGCCAGAGAACTTGTATCTGATGGGTGGGTGGCGCCCTTCCGAGTCCTGAGATACTGCGGTCAGGGTTAATTTGAAGGCAGAAGGGAAGTGAGTAGGGAATGGGAGTTACTCAGGGGCAGAGAGCTAGGCTGGCATGTTAGTGTCCTGGCTTTAATCCTCAGCGCTGTGGGGAAAATAAAAACAAAAGCCAAAACAGGGACTTCTTCTAAGAGAATCAACTGTAATTTTAAAATGGCCTGTGTCAGCAGAATCTATGTTTGTTTCTTGAGAGTGATATAATAAATTGCCATAAACATAGAGACTTAAAAAAAAAAAAAAAACAGCAATTAGGGGGCTGGAGAGATAGCTCATCAGTTAAGAGTACTGGCTGTTCCTCCAGAAGACCTGGGTTCAATTCCCCAGTACCCACATGGCCCCTCACTGTCTGTAACTCCTGTTCCAGGGGATCCAACACCTCACAGAGACATACATTCAGGCAAACACCAATGTACGTAGAAATAATCTTAAAAAAAAAAAATTTAAAACAAGCAAACAATAGCAACAAAACAGCAATTAGTTCGCTCGGAGTTCTGGAGCCAGAAGTCCAAAATCTTAGACCTCTGGGAGAGTGCAGCTCTGCCCTGGTGCAGTGTCCCATGCTCACCCCTGTGGCAACATCACTACAGTGTTCACATCACACTCCCGTCTGTGGTCCATCTGCCGAAACCTCCATTATGCCTGCAATCCGACTTACCAGGAATTCCGAAGCAGCCACATCTCAAAAGACCCAGGTTCCAGACACGAAGGCCTGATGCTTTGAGGTGCCTTTATCCAGCCTGGTATGCTGTTGACCTTGGCCAGTGAAGTTATCACAATCTGATTTGCTTATTGCCTAGATATCATCTGTGTCCTGTACTCACAAAACCATTAAGTAGGAAGAAAACCCACCCATATTTAATACCGAGTACTCCCCTGGACTTCACAAGCACGCCTGACTGGGAGCTGGCTGTAGGGTGGGGACCTGATGGGGACGGGTGACACTCTTCTCCTTAGGTCAAGTCAGTTCCCTTCAGTAGAAGTGCAGGCTGGGCAGGAAATGCCCACAGTCCTCCTGCGGCCTGGCCTCCGAGCAGGGAAGGGGCTGGCTGGGCACAGGCAGGCTGCACCATCTCCCCTGTTCTTACCACAGCTACTTCTGGAAAGAGGAATTGAACCCAGGTCATGGAGCCACTGCTCTAATCACCTGCTTCTCAGTATGTACCCCAGGCTGTCCTGGAACTCGCTCAGTACACCGGGCTAGCCTCGAACACAGATCCACCCACCTCTGCCTGCCACGTGCTGGGCCCCCCGCTGGGCCCCCGCTACAGCACACTAGTTCATTACACATTAATTCAGCCTCACAAATGTTGGCCAGAGGGCAACCGGATTCTTTGTCAGAATGTAAACTCAACAGCCCTTGCACAGTTTCCAACAGGGCCCTTTTCCTTTCTGAGCCCGCATGAGCCTGCACTGTTTCTGCATTCTGGCTTTCCATACTCCTCCACAGTGCCCGCTAAACTCTGTATACAGCATCTCAGGGCATCTTTAGCCTGTAGCCATGAACACATTCCTCCTGCAAGCCTATGAACCGTATGATCGTAGTGGCAGTAATGACTCCCTGTGTGTGGTTTACTTTATGTGTTGCTCATTTACAATCACCCTGCTCTTAATTTTTTAGGGATGGAATTGTTTGAAGAGGCGTTGCGTCGGTGGGAACAGGCTCTGACCTTTCGAAGCAGACAGGCTGAAGAGGATGCCTGCAGCTCTGTTAAGCTGGGAGCCGGTGATGCCATTGCTGAAGAAAGCGTGGATGTAAGGGCGGTTTGTTTCCGGTTGTGGGGAGAGCCCCTTTCTGGGCAGTTAATGCAAGTTGTTAGCTTTCCGCGCGTGGGACTCTGTGAGAGACTTGTAGGGTTTGTTTGATTTCGATTTGAGTGAGGGCCTCACTATGGAGCCCCTGCTGGCATAGGACTCAGCAGACCAGGCTGGTCTGACGCACTCACGCGTGTCTGCCCCTGCCTCCCCGGTGCTGGGATGGTGTCCAGCATGAAGGGGCTTCTTGCTGGACATTTTCTATCAAGCTTTTAAGTACTTTGGGGTTTTTAAAAATAGTTTTCCCTGCATGTGTGTATGTGTGCCGTGGTGTGCCAGCCGCCTGCAGAGGCCAGAAGAGGGTGTTGGGCCTTCAGGGAGTAGAGGTACGAACAATTCTGAGCGGCCATGCAGCTCCTGGGACTCAAACCCAGGTCCGCTGTAAAAGTTCCAAATGCTGAGCCCACTCCCCTCCAACTTTTCTTACTCTCCTAGGGTGTGTAGAAGCAGAAGATGCCGTTAATTTCTCTTTGTGTGATACAGAGGTAAAACGGGGTCCTTGTTGACCATTTCAAAAGGGGAGTGGATCGCAGAATAAGAAGCCCAGAGCAGGGGCGCTAAGTCTAACTTAGCAAATCTAGGAAATTCCCGTACATGCTCAAGTCTGAAAATGCGGAGTCTGCTTCAGTGATCAGGGAGGACCCAGGCCTTCCTCTCTATTACTAAGACAATAGGACTGGTTGAAATTTTATGATTGGTTTCTCTTGGAAGTAGCGTTTCTGTGTTTAGAGTGTTAGCACTGAATGTAACAGTTGCTGTGTGTTACTGTTATTCCTCTGTCTTTGTAGGACATAATTAGTACGGAATTCATCCACAAACTGGAGGCTCTGCTACAAAGGGCATATCGTCTCCAGGAGGAGTTTGAAGCTACCCTTGGGGGATCTGACCCTAACTCCCTTGCAAACGATACAGGTAAGGTTGATGTTTTTTGTGGTTTTCTGAAACCTGTGGGGTTTTTTTTTCTTTCATATGTTGAAGTCATTTGCTGGAGCGCCTTATAATTGAGTCAGACATGCTTTAGGAAATGGCCAAGGGGAAAAAGTGTCTGCTGTAGCCCAGGCTGGCCTGAAGCTGGGAGGAGCCTGCCTCAGCCTCCCGAGCACCAAGAGCCAAGGCATGAGTTTGTGAATGAGGTCTGGGAGAGAGGACTGGTTAACATTGTTTCTTTCTGTAAATCCCTCCCAAGACTGAAATAAGGGAAGGAGGGGGCTGGGGCTTCAGAGGTGGCCTAGTGGTTGAGAATATTTGTTGCTCTTGCCAGAAATTCAGGTTTCGTTCCTAGCACCCACATGGCAGCTCACAACCTCCGTCATGAGGGGTCCCACACCCTCCTCTGATCTTTGCAAGCACCAAGCATGCCTTGGTGCCCAGACACACATTTAGGCAAACCACTCATACACACGAAATAAAAATAAAATGTTTTCCAAAAGATTGAAGTGAGACAAAAGTATGTTATGCATCTGGTTTGGTTTGGTTTTGTGGTTCTTATTGTTTATGTTTTGGTGTGGGGACAGGGTCTCTACATAGCTCTGGCTGTCCTGGAACTCACTATGTAGACCAGGCTGGCCTAGAATTCACAGAGATCAGCCTGCTTTTGTTCTCAAGTGCAAAAAAAAAAGTAACTTAGGATCTGATTGTGTCTTATCTACAGTCCTAGCTACTTTGGTACACTGAGGCAGGAGGATTGCTTGAGCCTGTGATTAACCACCTTGCGTGCTGGTTACCTTGTGCCCGGTTCTTTGCTGAACACTTTATGTGGAGCACTTTCTTCTCTGAGGCAAGCACCGTTCTCAGTGAAAACTTATTATTCATAACAAGTGCCCTCAGCACCCGGGAGGCTAAGGCAGGAGAGTAACATAAGGCCAGCTGACCAGGGCCAGTCTCCAGCAAGCACCTGGTCTACACAATAGGAAGACCCTGTCTTACAAAGACCTGAACCAGGTGAGGAGTGCAAGAGTCCCTCTTCTTAGTCAGTGCTCTGTGTTGCCTGGCCTCTTATGGGGCTGAGCAGCATGCCTGAGTAGGAAGGCTGCTGCCTGTGAACTCTTTGTCAGGCTGGGAGCAGGCGGCCTGGAACCCGTGCCCTGCAGAAGCAAAGAGGACTCGGTTCTGCGGGTGGCGGCTTTTGTGGGTGTAGTACCTTCTTTTCCATCGCTGGGGTGTAACACAGGGCTTGTGCACAGTGGCTCACACTTCTGCTCTTCCGCTGACTTACGTGCCTGCAGGCAGGAAGTCAGCACTGGCTGTCGCCTTCCCCTGCACGTTTTGAGACGAAGTCTCGGGCAAACCTGGCGCTCACCGATTGACTATGCGGAGTAGCCGGTGAGCTCCAGGGATGTGCCCCTCCTTACCCGTTGTGCCAGGGCTATAGACACACGTGGCTTTCATGTGGGGTGCGAACCCAAGTCTTCTTGTTCGCATGCAAGCACTTCCCTCGCTGAGCCGCCTTCCACACCCCTGGATTTTTAGCAAAGGTTTTCTTCTTCCATATGTGTGTGGTAATCTGGCTGACTCTTCTCTGTCCTCCTCTGTCAGGCCCTCAAGGGCGCAGTTCACATGTTTTGTGGAAATAATTTTTCATCTGTTCTCCTGGCTAATGTTTTCTTTCATGTGTATGGGAGTTTTGCCCACATACATGTCTGTGCACCACAAGTATCCCAGTGCCCTAGAAGGCCAGAAGGGGGTATCGGATGCTCTGGATGGAGCCACAGAAAATTGTGAGCCGCCATGTGGGTGCTAGGAATTGAACCCGGGTCCTCTGCAAGAGCAGCCACTGCTCCCAACCTTTGAGCCATCTCTCCAGCCCCCACATTGTCTTTTGACACTCACTGCATAGACCTCACGCCCCCACGCCCCCAGTGATTTCTCACTGCTGAGATGACGGGGACTGGTGACATGTGGCTCATAGAAAGACAGCCTGTCATGGCCAACCCTGGAACAAAAGAGCGCTGATCGGCCTACCTGAGGCAGAGCGTGCCGGAGCTGTGGGCCCTGAGACTGCGCCCTGCGCCCTTTGCCCGGTGCGCTCCTTGCCCGGTGCGCTCCTTGCCAGGTGCGGGCTCTGTCCGTATAATAGCCGACAGCCCACCAGGCGCTCTCACGCATGGACCCATGCCCCAACACTGTCATTTGGAAGCACTTGCCCAAGACTCTCAGGATCCTCATCTGCAAAAGGGACACACAATGTGTGTATTTTATATAAACTTTGAGGCTAGCCATGACGCTCTAGGACAGGTGACGGTGGCTGTGGTGCTTTGGAACTTAGGGCTCTCAGAACAGTGACCATTTTGCCATTAGAAGGGAAGTGGATAGGTTGGATGTTTTTATTTTTTTTTTAAGTCTGGTTCTCATATGTCCCAGGCCACGTAGCTGAGGGTGACCTTGAACATGTGGCCCCCCGACTGTCTGCTCAGTGGTTTGTACCAGTGTCCCTGCTTCATGTAGTACTGGAGTTTGCATGAGGGGCATTGTGCATTCACGGCTATTGCTACCCACTGAGATGCAGCCTTTTTAGATTTTGTTTTGCTTGCATTTATTTATTTGTTTGTTTGTTTTGAGGGTTTCACGGAGGTCACGAGTTACCATGTTTTGGTCCATTTGCCTGATCCTGTATATGACAATCTTAAGTTAATCTTTAAATTTTCTGGCACATGTTTTTATGGGGACAAGAGCTCACTGTGTCACCCAGGATGGTCTTAAAGTCTTGGTCTTGAGCTGTTATCCTGCCTAAGCCTTTTGAATAGTGGAGGCTGCAGGCCCACAGCACTCACTGTTGGACGCAGAAGGCACTCCACGAATCAGCTTGAGCTAGAAGTTCTGACTATTCTGGTGATAACACTGGAGATTATTTCATCAACTTTTGAAACATTGCTAGTGCTGAGCTAGGGTTAACTAAATTTCCACATCTGCATTTGCTTGTAAAGTTTAGATGTCATGTTTGTGTTTCTCACTGAAGTGTCAGCTCGGGATTCTTCTGAACTGCAGAAGAATTGCAGATTTAGACTTGTCGTCTATTGTCATATCACTCACCGTGAATCACTCTGCACTTTGGTAAGCCCTAAACCTTTGTGGGTGGTTTAAAATGGATGGACAGCAGGGCAGAAGCACAATTCGCTTCCAGCTTTCTTTGGTCACCGAGAATCCTTGTTTTGTTCTGTTGTTTGGGGCCACAGTCTCACTTGTAGCCCTGGCTAGCCTGAAGCTTGCCATTTAGATGAGTCCCAGTTCAGTCCCCGGCTCCACACTGTGGGATGAGGAAACCCACACCAGACTCACCCGACTGGAAAGCTACCTTAATTAAGTTACTGTTTTCCTTCCCTGTTTTCTCTTCCCTTCTAGCATTCTTGTAAACCGGAAGATTGTTAGATAAAGATTTTAACCTTTGCCAAGAAAAAAACAAGTTTGCAAATTGAAAAAGAGCCTTGGTCCAGGCAGTGGTGGCACACGCCTTTAATCCTAGTGCTCAGGAAGGCAGAGGCAGGCGGATCTCTGTGAATTCAAGGCCAGCCTCTTCTTCAAGGAGAGTTCCAGGACAGGCTCCAAACCTACAGAGAAACCCTGTCTCGAAAACCCAACAAATAAATAAATAGCCTTGGAAGCCTAATTCCAGCTTCAGGTGACATTGGTACCTTTCCTAATTGCAGCCTGTGTTATCTCCCGTGCACCCAAGTTCTGAACATCACCCTGGAAGTCTGAAATACATACACATTAAGTCAGTCAATCAACGCAACTCTTTAAAAAATGGAGTCTAGAACAGACCTTTAAAAATTAGACTCCTTAAGACATTTTGTACATTTTAGAGGTGTAAGATGCATCTTTCCAACTAGGCACAGGAGATGTGTTAGTTTTTCACCGTGAATATGCTGACCACATCTCAAAACTGTTGAGGAAAGACAACTATGTTAGTCTTTAATCTCTGTGTGTGTCTTGGTTGCACGTATGTTTCTTTGGGTACCATGTGTGTGCCTGGTACCTGCAGAGATCAGAAGAGGAAGTCAGATCCCCTGGAACTGGGGTTACAAAGGTCGTGAGCCACCTGTGGATGCTGGGAATTGAACCCAGGACTTCGGGAAGGCTTCTCTTAGCCATCTTTCTAGGCTCCCATATTTCTAGACTCTATGTGCTAACTCTTGATGTAGACAGTAGGTGTTGTTCTACCCTTGTTACAGATGTTAGTTACAAACAGATGAAGTGGAGGTCTGAGTCAGTTCACTGCTCCCCACTCCTAGGAGACTTATTGTTGAATGTGCTGTTGAAGTCGCTAGGGGGCAGCATATCTTGTCTACCACCTAGGCACCGACGATTGCAGATGCCGTTCCGGGCTGCTTCTTGAACTGAGTTATTTTAAGGCCACACTTGTGGCACACTTTGCATACACCTGCCACTGTGACTCAGAGTGAAAAAAAAAAAACCTTAACATTCACAGACACTTGTGGAAATTTACATGACTTTGTGAGCCCTTTTACCCAATAGCATCTAGACACTTAGGACTGAGTTTATTCATAGTTTCCGTTTTTTCAGATTACTAACAATGGTGACTTTGTAATCGTAGAAAACCCTTTCAGATAGGGTCTCCTTGTATGTCCAGTGCTGGCTTTGAATTCATTGTCTAGCTCAAGCTGGCTTCCAGTCGACAATCCTCCTGCCTCGGTCTTCCAAATGCTCCAGTTCAAGTGTGTGTGCCACGATGCCTGGCTACCTATTATAAGTTTGTGTTTGTTTGAGTTTTTTCAAACCAGGGTTTCTCTGTCCTGGAACTCACTCTGTAAATCAGGCTAGCCTTGAAGTCAGAGATCCCTGCCTCTGCCTCCTGAGTGCTGGGGTTAAAGGTGTTACATATTATAATTAAAAAAAATATTTTCACTTCTGTGTGTGTGCTGGGCCTGCACATGTGTACGTGGTATCTCTCCAGC